TGGGTGAAAGACCTTGTAGGCACTGAATATAGCAGTTATAGTGTGGTTGACATATTATTATACACTCCGTTTACTTTTACACATAAGTTCTTATTCATAATTACTAATGCAGTTTCTCCCGTTAATCAAGAAGACGAGTTTGCTGGTTCGCCAGTACATCTTAATCTAGGTCACACCGTAACAGTTGTTGTTAAGCAATTTACTGTTATGAATAGAGTCTAAATTGTATCTATGTCTGTTGTATCCCAGTTGGCTAACGGCCTCGTTGGTACAGGATATAGGCGATATAGTATGGTTCACTTGTTACTACGTATTCTTCTTTACTTTCACTCACAAGTACTTATTAATAATTTCTTACAACACAACGAATAGACATATATATATAACATTTTAAGTGATATTAAAAGTTTCTTCTGTAACGTTATTAAAAGAAACGTTGTAATTTTTCATGTGTTTAAGAAACGTAAATTGTGATAGAGAGCTTGAGACATTTGTATACTTGTTTAAGTGGATAATACTACTGTATGGCATTGCAATTATTTAGCTGATTTGTTCATTGCTGGTACTTAAATCAATTTCACGTGACCTACAAACGGTAAGAATTAGATCCACAAAATGGCTTATCACTTGACATTTTGACGTCTTATTGAATTATTAAGGTGATTCAACTGACTAGAATTGAGTAGTGACTGATATTACGAAATGGTTCTATAAAATAGACTCAGTTTGGTTATTAATATCTTGATATATTTCCTGGTGTCATAATTGTAACTTCATGATCTTGTTATATTGGAAGGAATTAGTCAAAAATGAGAACTACCATTACACTGATATAGCAGAAATTAACTCGAGTAACCAATGATAGATTTAGGTAACATAATGTTATTTTGTTAGGCAAGTAGTCAGGATGAAGAAAGTGTTTCTTTCAAGATTTCTCCGTACAATTCTACAGTTGTAACATAATATTACTTTATTAGGCAAGTAGTCAGGATGAAGAAAGTGTTTCTTTCAAGATTTATCAATATGGTTCTTTCTCCAGTTTTAACATCATTTTACGTTATTAGACAAGTAGTGAGGATGAAAAAATAATTCTCCAGTTACAATATAATGTTAATTTATTAGGCAAGTAGTCAGGATCAAGAACGTGTTTCTTTCAAGGTTTTTCAGTACAGTTTTTCTCTAGTTTTCTCTTGTTTTATCAAGTTTGTGGTATGTAATTTTGCGTTATTATTTTTGTGAGCTGGGTATGTCTATACTAAGATAACGTGTCGGGCTACGGCTTGGGGGTTCCGGGGTTTGAGACGTGATGTCACTGAACATGGTCCTCGCTTTTATCTATGAGTGCGTTAGAAAAATATGAATCATTCCTATTATATGGTTCAAAGAGCCTTGGACAGTCCACAACTGAAAATACAAGTGAAGCAAGCACA